TTTTTTTTGCTTGGTATGCCTGAAGATGGATATTTTTGGCCTTGATCAAGGACTGGACATGGAAATTAAATTAACAACTAAATCATTTGAATTCATTTCAATATATTCACCTCTATGTTTCTCACAAACGGTTGCTCAAGTGATTTTAAATAGCGTAATTCCCACCATCAATTTGTACAATAAAATCGTATTGCATCAATCCATGGCTACAAAAAGGTTTTATGAGATGAGTTTTTTGTCCCAGAGACCAATGCTTTGTGCAGTGAGCATATATTTAGTATGACTTGCAACCCTAGAAAGGCATTCCGCTTTAAAGATACCATTATAACCATCTTTGTTGATGTGTGGGATATTTAAATGGCGAAGTGAATGCATAGTCTTCTGTCTGGAGACAAGAGATACTTCCTTTATAACTTTTAACTTAACTGTGGATTGCAGAAATCATTTGGTATAGCCATCTACAGCTTGGTCCAAAAGAATTTAACATTTTCATATTGCTTCTCAGAGATATAAGCAATCCATATTAGGTGATTATATATACGATTTTGTATAAGACAAATTAGGTTGATGAAATAGCCGTTGTGGTTAGATCTTTTCCCTCCCTTCTAATTCAGACCCCCCCCCCTTCCTTTTTTTAACTAATATTTGATCTCTATTTAATGTGCTTCTACTATTCCACGTACGTAACTATTTGAACCATGTGGCTTATGCTTATCGCCATAACCGATTCCAATAGGTTTTAGTGCTTCTGCTTCTGACTTCAACTCGAGACCCGGGAATCGTACCACGAAACTCACACCCTCCGGAAGAAGAGTTCCGTTATGACACATCAGCATCAGTCGAGATCGGCGGGCGGCAGACTCCGAGCCTCCAATTCCCCCGAACAAAAGAAGTAATGGTCAATGGACTCCCTGTTAGAATCAAATACTGTGACACTTGTATGCTATACAGGCCTCCTCGTTGCTCACACTGTTCTGTTTGCAACAACTGTGTTGAGCGTTTTGACCATCACTGCCCTTGGGTAGGCCAGTGCATTGGCTTGGTAGGAAGCTTTATTTATTTATTTAGTTATTTTTATATATTTTATTTTGGTGAACTGCTGCTATATAAGCCTAATGGGTCCTTTTTTTTTTCTTTGTTCGACAGAGAAACTACCGTTATTTCTTCTGCTTTGTATTTTCGGCAACACTTCTTTGTGTGTATGTGTTTGCAATATCTGCTTTGTACATAAAAGTATTGATGGACGATCATCAAGGAACCGTTTGGAAGGCCATGGCAGAGTCCCCTGCATCTGTTGTTCTCATGGTCTATTGTTTTATATCCTTGTGGTTCGTTGGTGGCCTCACGGGTTTTCACCTTTATCTACTAAGCACGAATCAGGTGAGATTTCTTTATTTCATCTGGGAAAGTAAAATGTTTCTGAAGAACTAGCGTGTTTGTATACAAATATATCCGTTCAAAATGAGTTTTTTGATTAATCAAAGTTAATTTAAAAAAAAAAAAGTGGTATAGTTAGTTGTTAGTGGAATTTTGATTTTATATTAGAATAATATTTAAAATAAAATAAATATAGTTGATTTAATGTAAAAGTAGGAGAGTGACGACGTAAAGTGATAGTTAGTTAAAATTATGTGAGTGAGTGAATATTAAATTAAAGTTGATGTGATGTATAAGAAGATTGGTTGAGATTATTTAATTATATTGATAATATTGAGGATAGTGGGGTTGGGTTAAAGATGAATTAGATTTTGAGTATGAATTGGATATTTTCATATACAAACACACATGATTCAGCGAGTTTTCAATATTTGTTTTCGCCTTTATTTTATATACTACCGAAAGTCCCCAAATTAATCTACCAGTTATTTATTCCTTTCACAGACGACGTACGAAAATTTTCGGTACAGATCAGATAACAGGATCAACGTATATGACCGTGGCTGTGTTAACAACTTCCTTGAAATATTTTGCACAAAGGTGAAGCCTTCGAAGAATGATTTCCGGGCCTTGGTGCAGGAAGAGCCACAGAGAGTGCCACCCGTGCACGCCACACGGGAGTGCGAAGCGGAGGATAATAACTTTGGGGACGACAGGCGAATTAAGGTCGAAGATGATTTGGATATCGGTGGAGATCTTTTGAAAATCTCGCAACGCCATAATATAGAAGATATAGAGGCGGATATCCGGAGCAGGGGTAGTGACGTGCCACGTCATCATAACTTGTCAGAGGCTGATTCGGTCTTAGGTTCGGACACTCGGCAGTCGAGCTGGGAGATTGCGAACGAGGGAAATTATGTCGCTTCAAAAGAAATATGAAAATGAAGAGAATGAAGTGAAGTTTTGAGGGGTCTTGCTTTCTTCATCGATGGAGGCGTAGCAGTGAATTTTTATTACGGTGAGGGTAAAATTTGTGTTACCATTCTTTCTCTTGCTTGTTTTTGATTAGATTAGATGTAGCTACTCTCTCTCTATCTCTCTTAATTGTTATTTTGTATGGAAGCATTGAAGAGTGAGGTTTTATGTGATTCGGTGGGGAGAATGTTGTTTCTTGCTTCTGTGTTTTAATGAAGGTTCTCATAATCAGATGACTAAGGAATCTGATCGGTTGATCGATCAAGCTATAAGTTCAATGGTTGAATTGGTAATTAATTTATTCATATATTTAAATACATATTATACGTTTAAGTAATAATAATAATATATACATAAATGCTATTAATTAATATATCTTAATACATTCAAATTACTAAAGTAATTATTAATAAATTTATGCATGGCTAATATGTATTTATATATGTATTTTGTTTATATTAGAAATATTATTAGATATATTAAAATTTCCAGGAGACTGAACAAGATGGCCTGAAGCAGGATAGACTCATTGAGGGTTCCAAACCTGTTCAAATATGGATTCTATACAACCTTGGTTGTATGTACTTTTTTCTAAGGCGCTTGAATCTCTTCAAAGATCTTCAAACATTGCATGTAAATTTGTTCTCCAAGCCTTTTTCACATTCATTGTGTTGAATGCACTAATATTACTGCAAATGGTCTTAGTTCATTTGTAGTCTGAAAAGTGATGACTTTATTCAAAAAGTTTAAAAACTTCTTGATCACACTCCAACATCATTTTATTTATTTATTTATTTTTACTTATATTTTTTGTGGTAAGTAAATCTCTATCAGAAATGAAATGAAGGATAGGAATTGGTACCTTCGGAGACGGAAGGCAATGATAGAATCGATAAATCCCTTCAAAAAGAAAAAAAGTACTTAAATTACACTTTTATCATTAAAAGTAAACAAATATAAGAATTTTTTAATCCATAGATTTATTCCTCATTTTATAATAACATAGATAGATAGATAGACAAATAGATAGAGAAAATTTACAATTCACTACAAATCATAATTCATTTACACATCTATGGAAGTTCTATTTTTAATTGTAATAATGTTAACTTACATAGTTAATGAATGATTGATTTAAGGTTTTCTTTTGTCATTAATTTCTATATTGCATTATTTTTTAGTTTATGACTAATTTATAAATAATTTATTTATGATTTAATTTTGAATGCNAAAAAAAAAAAAAAAAAATCGTAATGTGTCGATGTGTAATTTTGAAAAATACTACAGTCCCGTTGGAGGTTTAACAGAATGATTCCATTATTCTTTTTAACCAAATGTAGTTCCATTGGATGACTACAGTCCGTTACAGAACCATTCCGTTTGAGTTTTTATCCGTAAATATTCCATGTAGACGAGTATAGATAGATGATCTACGTTTAAAAATCCCGACGAAATGGTTCCGTATGGGACTGAAAAGTTTTGTTTGTAAACGAAGTACTATATTAGTTAATAAAAAATATGACTGAACACATCCTCACAACACAAACAAACAAAAATATAAATTGAGTCCTATATCATCATTCTCACAATATTTTGTTCAACAGTGTAGTTGCAAATATCTATATATATATATACTGTTGATTTAGAATTTATCAAAAATATACATATACGTACATAAAATTTAATATAATTTAGAATTTATAAAAAATATACATAATGTACATAAAATTTAGTTTAAACTTAGATTAAATTTTTTTCAACTAGCTCATACATATTATTATTGAAAATTATAAACCAATGATGTGTGATGAAAGTGTGCAAGACAAATAAATTTTATAAAAAAATACTTAATTATTTATAGTGCATCATAAAAAATTAAAACACTCTATTGTTTTATACTATGCATGAATTAAAATTGAATATGTCAACATTTCTATTAGATGATCTTTTGTCTTACAAAATCACACACCAAAACAAGAGTTATGTGTGCTTGAAACAACTTTCATGAAAGTTGTATTTCATGATTTATATAAAATATTTTAGTACATAGTACATTATCATAAAACAATTTAATATAGGTGTTTTTATACATAATTACAAGAATATTTTAGATAATTTCATACATTTTTTCAAAGTAAATATATATTATCTTAGATATTTTTACATGTGTTATATAAGTGCTTTTAATATTTCAAACATACATGTTTTATGTTTTCTATAATAGTTTTCATATCTTGATTTATAAATATTGTTTAATACTCCCTCCTATTTTGTACAAATAATAAAAATAGGAGGGTTATTATTGACAAACAAAATATTCTTAATTATTGTGCAACTTTTCAAAACGACATTTATTAAAAATAGGAGGGAATAGTATTTTCAAGATTATAAATCAATTTTAATTGGTGGATTAGTAATTCCGATGTAAAAGTATGGTTTTTGGGCTTGAAATACTTTCTAACTTCTGGTCAAGACTTTCTAACTCATCTTGTTCAATTTTGTATGTAACTATGTATTCAGAATTTTGTATGTAACTATGTATTCAGTTAACTTACTTTCTAACTCATCTTGTTCTGGTGCTTATCAACTATGCATTCAGAATTTTGTATGTAACTATGTATTCAGTTAACTTTTGTATATTGTATGTAACTATGTATTCAGTTAACTTTTGTATATAACTATGCATTCAGTTAACTTTTGTATTTTTGTATGTAATCAATTAGTGTCATTAACTAAGAAGGTTTTAATGCTTGAATGAATTCATAACATATTCAATTCATTTACCTCTTTAATAAGTGTTCATCAATGCATAACTTAACATCTTAATAAATGTTCATCAATGCATAACTCATTAGTTGTACAAGTTAAACCTATAGATAGTCTTACACAAGAATTTTGTAATGCCATTTTTNCACAAAAAACATGAGTCCCTCAAGAAACAAATTGCAGCCCATCACCTTTTCCTTCTTTTTGTTCCTCATTCTTTCATGCACAAAAGCACAGTCAAACAACCAGACCACAACTACCCCCAAACCCCCCGGTCCTTACGAAACTGTGAACAACTTCTGCCTCCACAAACGGCTCAACGTGGCTAAACCCTTTTGCCTCAGGGTCTTGAAGAACCCTAAAGCCGCTAACACGACACTAAACGACCTCAATCCCCTCCTCCAAGTCGCCATAAATTCAACCTCCTCCTTCGTATGCCGAACCCTAAACCAACTCCTCGACCTGTCTGAAGACCTAACCACAAAACCTCCTCTCATCCCAGCCATCGACAGTTGTTTGACGTCTTACGAGAATGTGGCCGCGTACATAACAAACGTGTTGTCTGATGCTTCTCAAGAGTCATCAATTGCGGGTTTAGATGGCGAGGTGATCGAGGATTATATAAACGGATGCATGAAGGCCACATCGAGGATAAGGGAACCTGATATTGAGGACTGGAATAACGAGGCCAAGAGTTATGCCAAGCTCTTGATCGATATTGCCGATAGCCTCACCAGTAATGAATCTAAACAAGATTAAAAATCAGTGAGAGGAATGAATGTGTGGACATGTTTCTATTGAATGAGACATATTATTAATTTGATCATTAATTCAATAGGTCTCTCGGTACTCAATATTTTTTTGTTAATCAAGAAATAAGGAGTTTGAATCAAGGGCTCCTTTAGTTCTTTATTATATGTTTATGGGACATGTTACAAGAGAAGCCAATTCTTTCTATTTTCTTTTCCTTTTATTTGCTGTCACAGATATATACTGCTAATTGCGATTGGCATTCTCCTCACTGATCTAGAGAGTAAGGCAAACCACAAAAAGAACAAAAAATTATAACAAAAGAAAGAAAAATATAGAATTCTGAACACTTTAGTTGCCCGTATATACCAAATATGTGGAAGGTTCAACTCAACTTACAATTTTCCATGGTCATGAAAAAACAGTTCAAGTAATACACCGTGCATTCACAGTTAACCATCATTGTATTTCATCTTCTTCACCTTCTATTTCGACCCAGGAACTCAATTAAATGTCACACAATAAAAACTCTCACTAGATAGAATGTCAACACTTGCTCCATAATTCCCCTAAACCCATTCCAGCCTGCCCTGGTACTCGACGAGGTGTTGAATTTTACCGTTGGGTAAAAGAGCCAAGTTTTTAACTTTAGCAGGTCTTGTGCTGTAGTTCACTTCAAATCTTGGCAACTGGTTATCAGGCTCTTTCATGCTGGATGATGTATCGGGTGCGACCTCATCCAGAAACTCATCAGCAATATCACCATCTTCGTCTATCCTAAGGCGTTTTGCATACCATCTCAAACCCTGTGTAATTAATTAAGGAAACTTAGGATAGAGATGCTGCCAAAAGTTTTTAAAGAAAAAAGCAATAAAAAGAAAATTCTTATGGAAATGTATTATATAATAGATAAATAAATTCTAAAACTAATCTGTCAACTATGCTTCAAGGGAAAACAACCATAAATTGTATTTTTTAAACTGAAAATCTTTTAGTATGTTGTTTCCTTTTTTATACCAAATAAGAAGAAGTGCATGGGGTCAAGCTAAAGTCCTGATGCCTGCAGATTATTATGATCCCCTGTTAGCCATATTCTCTATGTGTCAACTCTTTTCTTGTTCATAAGGAAAATGCAAATTCTGTAAATCTATTTATAAAGATCATAAATTATTATCTGCCCACCGAAAACACTGCAGAAGCTTTTCCAACACCAAATTTTCTCCCAGCACAATACACCCACTTTATTTCTTTCTTTTTAGAAGAGAGTAAACAAGAAGATCAAGTTTACAATTTTTAAACTTGTTAGGGTCCGAAAGCATGATCGACTTCAGTATTCACAATTTCCTCCTGAATCGGAGATCTCACAAAAATAGCAGAGCTCGAGGTCCTCTAATTAGCTTATTAGCAGAATGTACATCCAGCAGTTTAGGCTTCAAAAACATCTACCCTTCCCCAATCTGTGGGGTTTGTTTGTATGTGTTTCACTACAAATACATATGTACATATATATTCAACCCAGAAAATACAGATGCAATGCTTCCATGGAATCACATTGAGTGCATTATGATCGAAAGAGAATAACAAACATAACTTAGGGATGGTTAGAGGAGTAATACATTTTCTTTTTCTTTTTTTACTCATAACTATCACTGAATAAGGCAATTAACTTATTCTTCCCTACCTTCAATGAAAGACATCATGCACCTCAATGTAGATTATAAATGCTCCTAAAGAATAAATTGGAGAACAACAGTTTTAGTGACCCAAAGACTCAAAATTATCCTGTATTGAAGTTCGTATTTGGCCTTTGCATTGCCTCTTGCCTTATCCACAAAAATTCATTCTCTACACAACGTATATCTTGCATCTGCTCACCTTTTCCTGGAATCTGTCATCCTACTACAGAGAGAGCTCTGATCAAGTTTTATGATTCTTGAAAGTTTATCCTATCAGCTCCATGTTGAGAAAATAAAATTATAATTTGAACCAAATCGACATATTTTGGGTTTTGGGTGATAACTTGAGGATCTTGGCTAGCTCAAGCATTGGGTCGAAGTTGATAGACCAATAGACAAACCTAAACAGGACTATACAAAAGCCCCCTAAACTAAAGAACTACAATACAGACGAGTTCATATTCTGAAGCATAATGTCGTCACTCGTCAGATCTAAGCCAAAGGCTTCATATTAAAAAACATTTCCACAATATGGACGAGTTCAAGCACAATATGGACGAGAACTTAAACGCATCAGCTAAACCAAGAAAGTAATTAAGAAAACAAATAAAAAGAGAAAAATCTCATTGATGTGATTCCTCAGACTAAAGAGACCTGAATTCCACCGTCCCCGGCGGGGCAGAACACGAGGAGCGGAGGAGGCGGGGCTCGCTCAACGGGGACTTGAACAGGGACACTGAAGCCCCTGCGCGGAAGATGGTGAGCTGAAGCGAACGCCTCTAGAGGAGCCGCTCCCGGAGACGAAGACGATGATGGGCCGGCGGCGTCCGCAGCTGCATCGTCGTGTTGATGCTGTTCTTCGTCTCGATCAAACCCTAGCAGGCCCACGAGTCTCTTAAACAATCCCATAATCCCCAATACATATATACAATTGAAACAATACTGTTTCAAGTTTCTGAAATTGCGAGATCAGTAGGTTTTTGTGGTAGTGATTTTGGAAAAATGCTAAGAAAATGATCCAAGTTTTGGAGACTGTTGAGAAGGGGAGCTTTATCGGCTTTAAGGGTGAATTATTAGTTTATTACGCGGATGCGCACAGCTTGAAAAAAACACTTCTACATCCCTCCTATATCTAATTCCCGAATGCGCTGAGCCTACGTGGATGCTTCTGGTGCTTCGGAATTCTACTTGGCGAAAAATCATGCTTCGTAATTTGGTTTGGACAAATAATATTGATATTATAAAATAATAATTTTAGGTTCGGACATTCCATAAATATTATTAAGCTAACTTAGGTAATATCATAGTACTTATACTAATATAATCCTTTAATTCCTTGTAGTGCAGCAAGTGACTAATATATCTTTGACTTTTGATTTGCTTCCTTCAATAGGTATTGATATTTTTTCATTTTAATTGTATTATTGTACATAAAAAGAAACACACAACATCTGCAAGTATTGCATAGGACTAGATTGATTTAATAGGCGGCCACCCCGGGCTTTCTGAATGGAAGACGAAAAGTGAAATTATTAGAAATAGCACTTGATTATAGTACTATAATTAATTCAAAAAAATAGTAAATGCTTTTGAGTTTTATTAAAAAAAAATAGTAAATTTTATTGGGAAGATACAAAAAAATAGCATTTTGAATAGTAAACATCACTATAATTAATTCAATATCAGTTTGTATCCAATCAATAAAATTTTAATAGATTAGGAAAAAACTAAAAATTTTATTATGTTATTTAAAATAGTGAATATAAAGAAATATCATAATTAAATATAATAAAATAAATTTATATTTCATAAAGTTAGAAAATAATACATTTCTATGTAAATTCTAATGTATAAATTATACTCCCTCCTATTTTTAATAAATGTCGTTTTGAGAAGCTGCACAGTAATCAAGAATCATTTTTTTTGCCAATAATAACCCTCATTAATGAGGATAGAGATAGATTTTTTGAAAAAAGATGAAAAGTGAATATGAAAAGACGTAGTGTATTTATTAGATAGATGAGGTAATAATGGAAAAATATATATAAAAGATCCAAAACGACATTTATTTAATAAATTATTGACAAAGCCAAAATGACATTTAAAAAGAATAGGAGGGAGTATGAATTTAAAATACTTGAAAAATTAATAGACGTGAGACCCTGACTATACAAATATAAAATATAATCAGAATACAATAAATCTTGTTTTGTTTAAAAAATAAATTCAGATATAGAGAGTTGTAAATAATATCGGACTTATACATATATAATTCTAAAAATATAATTAAAAAAAATCTTTTTTGAAAAATTTAGTGTAAAAATATGGGCACCAATTGAATATTATCAATTTGTTAGTTATTTATTATTGTTGCATATTCATAATACATAATTTTATAATAAAAATATAAATTATTTTAATACTTATTGTACAAATAATAATATATTTAAGTACCCGTGTACTACATTCAATGTACACAACAGACTTTCTGAATAGAATCAAGTGCTTTGGCATTTCAAATCATATTCTGGAATTGAAGGTTGGTGTACCTGTTATGTTGATTCGAAATATAGATCAATCTTCTGGCTTATGTAATGGCACCAGGTTGGTCATCACTCAACTTGGTAATCGCGTTATTGAAGCGAAGATTTTATCTGGGGGTAACATTGGTAGTAATGTCCTTATTCCACGAATGTCGTTGAGTCCGTCTGATGCTAGATTGCCATTCAAATTCCAACGAAGGCAGTTTCCCCTCTTGGTGTGCTTTGCAATGACCATTAACAAGAGTCAAGGACAAACATTGTCTAACGTTGGGTCGCACCTACCTAAATCCGTATTTAGTCATGATCAACTTTATGTTGCAATATCTAGAGTTAGGAGCAGAAGAGGTTTAAAAATTTTTGTTGCGACAATAATGGGAATATTGTAAATCGAATTAATAACGTTGTATACCGAATTTTTTTTTAAAATTTGAAATAATATCACAATTTCTGTTTTTATTTTATTATTTATTTTTTATCTTTATTTTGTATATTATTATATAAATTATTGTAGTTCTACCTTTTGTGAAACATAATTTCTTTTAATCACCCGTGTATTACACGGGTGTCGTACTAGTAAAACTAGTATAAGTAAATGATATAAATAAAATATTTTTATTTATTTATTTTACTTTATTATAATATATATATTTTTCAAATATTTTGTAGATAATTAATAAACTTATTTGTTTATGTAATTTGAAAAATTTATACGTTAAAGATAAATGCATATGAAATTATAATTTTTTTTTAATTTCAATATTATGAACGATAAAGATATCTATATATATATATAGAGTTAGGATCACATAAGAATGGTAGATAGTGAAAGAAATAAGAATGAATTTAAACCATTGGATTCATCAAATTAATGGTAATGATCAAGTCAAACTTTGGTCAATCATTAATGACAGTATGATAAATTTACACACATTGTAGTCAATTGTATACATTTGACCAATTATTAAGGATATTGTCGTCATTATACATCAACACAATTGGACCCACCACAAAACACCACCCCTTAATTATCTCTCTCACACACACATTCACCTAGTAGATCTATTTCTCTCTCTACACGATACACACACAATCACACACAGATGGGATCTGCCACCACCTGCAGCAGCAAAACCCCACCGCCGCCGCCACCAACCACCGCCCGTAGACACAACATCGCCACTCCCGTCGCTGCTGACGTCCGCCGTCCGCCAGTCTCACCACCGCCTTGCTCCGCCGGACGCACGCAGCATACACATATATACTACCAGCCCGCCGCCGTGATCGAGCGGCCACTGAACGGAGCTCGCCACTGAATGGAGCTCACATACACATCCAAATCCGGCACCGACTAGCACAAAATTCGCCGCTACCGACCAGGCGACGGCCATATTGGTCGAGCAGGCGGAGGTTCTCTCCATCATTACCTCCTCCGACGTCAAGGGCCTGCGGGCGGAGCTCGTCATCTTGTTTTCCATCTCGTCGTCTTCTCATATGGCAATTGCCTCCGCCGGCGGTGGCGGTGTGACAGTGGCGGTAACAATCACTCCTTGCCGGAGGAGGATTTCAGAGGATGGGAGATGTGGGATTTTAGGAAAAGGAAAATGTCGTGGGCCTCTATGAAATTGTTAAATCGGGATGAATGTATGAGATAGGATATGGGCCTGTAAATGTAGATTTAGGATTACTTATTTGGGCCTCCAATTGAAAATTTGATAACTCTTAAGGACTTAATTGTAATTTTTGAAAGTTAAATATTACAAATTTAGTTTATGATGTAAATATGAAATTTATCAAAACTTTAATAATTCGAAGTTACTATTAAAATCAGTGCACATTGTTATTCAGTGTATTGCACAATAATGAATTTGTAATTAATCAAATTATAATTAATATTTTAATATTTCTATTTAATGTTCAGTATTTTTGTATTTTTTGTGACTGAAAATTATTAATATTTTACATAAAAATATAATAATAAAATTAATATTTTATTTATATATATATAGTTTGGTTGTCCGGTTATCTAAATAAAAAAATATCATATTGGACCAATATAATCGAGTTTTTAAAAGTAAAATATGGCAATTGATATGAGATTTAAAAATTTGAACTAAAATTATTAGTTTGGTTGAAACAAATTGATATTGTGCAATCCAATAGTCAGTAATGTGCAATTCATACAACCTTAATGTGCATTAACAATACATACAAAAATATATAAAATACTAACATTTTTTACATAATTCGGCCATTTCAGTTATTTCGGTTATTTAAAAAAAAAAATCTGACACCGAACTAAAATAATTGTGATTTAAAAATAAATATAACCAATCGAACTAAAATATAAAATTTCAAATCAAAAATTTAATTCGTTGGTTTCAGTAGCTATTATGTAATTTGATAATCATTAATGTGCAGTTTTTCTAATATTACATATCGTGCACTCATAGTGCATTCATTTTGTATGATTAGCACTTAAAAAATGAACGGACATAATCGATATATTCTATCGGTTAATCAAAACACCATAAATAATCAAAATATTTTTTATTTATATCATAAAAAAATATATTTAATATTTTAGCATTATATATATATATTAAAAAAAAGACCTAAAATATATATGCAACAAAATATAATGAAATATATTAAAATATTATGTTGAATTATTTTATTTTTTTTTTATGTACGGTGTGCAGTATTTTATTGTGGAGTGTCGTGATAAAGTGTAGCGTATTGTTTTATAAAGTGCAACGTTTGTTTTATAAAGTGCAATACGTTGATATATAAAGTGCATTATTGTAATTTGGGTACGTTAGCATTCTTGTGTTTTTTGTGTACGAATTATGTGGTGGATACTAAATTATATTATGTAGATATATTTTTTATTTTTGAAAAATATAGATATATTTTTAGATTTATGATGCATGGTATTTTGGCGGAAGCTATCAACTTTAATTGTGGATTGTATAAAGTGCAAGGTGTTGCTTAATAAAGTGCAACGTGGTTACTTATAAAGTGCAATGTATTGATATATAAAGTTCGCTACTTTATATTATCCTAGATAGATTATGTGCATTCGAAAATTAGTTTTAGTAACTATAATTATGCAAGGAATTACACTAAATGATTAAAATATTTTTATTATTTAATATAATTTTTATTTATTAATTAATATATATGTGCATTTCAATATTAAAAGCACAAATAATATGTATTTCAATTAACATCATTTTGCATGAATCAAAATATTTATGCAAATAAAACTATATTTAATATTTACATTGTTTTATTTAATAATTTATATTATTATTTATTGAACTAAATAACATGTAACCTATAACATATTAAAAAATTATTTTTTATATAGCTTCGTTCACTAATTATACACTAATGTGCTATCTCACTTTAACTAATGTGCACTCCATCTAAGTGTAATGTGCATTCCACATTATTGTATATTTTAATTTTAATTTTCATTTAATAATGTGCATTTATTTTACAATAATTAATGATTTATTAAGTTTTTGATAATTACAGATTTGCAACTTGGACTAAATTGAAAATAAGTAATATATCTAAAATTATACATAAGTCCTTTATAATTATCAAATTTACAAATTTTGCCCCTAGCCCCAAATCTATGAATTGAACGAATCGGAGCCATGATTTCTGAAATTTGGAGTCAATTTTGCAACTGCAGGTTCCGGCGACGGCGCCGACGCCGGTACAGGCGGAGACAACGACGATTCGTACAAGGTCGTGAATTTCAGCGACGGAGGTCGAGGTGGCGTTGCCGACGGTCGAGGCGGCAGCGGCGGGGGTCGAGGTGGCAGTGGCGGATGTAGGTATCGTAGTTATCTGGCCGCGATGTGTGAGGAGGGATGCCGATGACGGCAGCTGCGTCGCAATTAAGCATCTATCTTCATGTAAGAGGCGTGCCGGTGGCGGGGTTGCGGCGGTGCTCTGGCCGGCGGCGAACAGCGAAGAACTCTGACCGGCGGCGGACAGCGAAGAACTCTGACCGGCGGCGGAGCAAGACGCGTTTAGGCGGCGGCGGAGCAAGACGCGTTTAGGCGGCGGCGCTCTGAGCAGTGGTCGGGGGCAAGGTCCGTTCATAGCTGTGCGTGTGTATGTGTTTGGACTGTGTGTGTCTGTTTAGGGGTGTGTGTGTGTGTGAGAGAGAGAGAGAGAGAGAAAGAAAAGCGTGTGTGTGTGTTTTTTAGTCTGTGTGTATGCGTGTGGCAGGTGTGTGAGAGAGAGATAAGGGGTGTGATGAGTTTGTTGGTGGTGGGTCCATTTAATGTGTTGGTACAATGTCTAATTTATCCTTAATGAATAAACAAATTATGTATTTTTTATGATCGTTAGATCATCCGATCCAATGATCACAATGTATTCTTATTTCTTTCACTGAGTATCATTCTCACTTGAACCCAACCCTATACATATATATATATATATATATATATATATATATATATATATATAATTACTAGCTGACGCATTTAATAAAACATTTAATAAAATTTATTTTCATTTCCCTTCAAAAGGAGTTACATTTTTTTTAATTAATTACTCACTAATCTGCTAAAACAGTTACATCTTAATATATATATTTTTATTATTTATTTTTTGGATCAGTTACTAAATTAAATCTAAATTTGGTAGCAAAATATTCAAATGTGTAACGGCTAATGTTAAACTTAATGGCACATTGTTGGAAGAAAAATATGATTGACACATATATTATTTTTTTCTAAAAATCAGAAACACCAATAATTTTTTTATTTATGTTTATTTTATTAATATATGCCAGAAATATATAAATTATTTTATTCATGTTACTAATGTAAACGTTGCATGGTTAAAATAAAATTTAAATCTCAATTAATTCTGAATGATAAAACTAACTTAAGAAAAGTAATAATTTTTATATGATAGAAGTACATGTATAATTAATAAATACAAACAAAAACGTGTTTTATATCTGTGCAAATGTACATGATCAAATACTAGTCATATTTAAGGCTGAAGCTATCAATTATTAAATATTTGCTATTTAGTCAACAAATTATAATTAATATCCACAAAACTCATTTAGGTTTGATGGGGGTGTATTTAATTAGGATTTTTAAGGACTTTTTAAGACTTTAGAAATCCTGGTGTATTCAATTTAGATTTGTTAAGACTTTTAAAAATCCTGAGGTATTCAATTGAGATTTTCAAAAGTCTTACAAAATCATGAGGTATTTGATTTTTTTGACACTGGGATTTATTAAGACTTTTTAAGATTTAGTGGGATTTCTAAACAAAAAACCTTATAAAATCCCACTTCAAATCTTACATCCGGACTTGAGATTTCATAGAATTCTTCCAAAATCTGACAATCCTATAAAGTCTCAAATCTCGAAAAGTCTTAAAATGTCGCTTAAATTCTGAATTGAATACACCCCCTAAGTTTAAAAAACCTCGTGATTTACAATATACTGGTACATTTACTCATGATGCTTGGTCTTTTAACATAAATAAATAGTTTTATATTATCTAATATTAATTTATTCATTTATTTTATTTATCATTTATTAATGGAGATTTACGTTTAGGTATTCTATAGACCTCAAACTACCTAAAACTATTAATTTAAAACTTTAGTTTATGAGTTTCGAGACTCGAAAGATTAGTCAATTATTAATTTAGTGTTGGAAGATAAAATCTATCAATTTTGAAATCGAATAATTTAAAATTGTCAGTGAAAATCTCCAAAAGGTAAATATGTTTTATAGTTTTTTGTTTATATTAAAATATTTTATTTAAAGTTTTATACTTTTTATAACTGATATGACATACAAAAATTTGCTCATATTTTTCTTATTGTTTTAATTTTTTATTTATGGTTTGATTTTTAATGTTATATTTTCTACTATTATATTTAAAATTGTAACTTGATAGATGAAAATATTTTGAGCCCTGAGATGATAAATTTAATCATTCAGATACATAATTTATCGTTTCTTGTTATCTTTTAGATTTCAAATTGATATAATTTATTTTTCAATGCAGAGTTGATAATTGACTCATCTTTCAAAACTCTGACTCATACAACTCTGTTTTTTATAAATTTTCTAATTTAAAAAATACATTTTATAAAATATTATGATTTTTATTCTCGAATTAGTTATTTGTATAGTGACTGTAAAAACGATTTGCTGATTAATTATTATAAATCATCTATTTGATGTTTAAAAATGTTGTAAACAACCGCTTTTATATTATTAATAAACGATAGTTTAAATCTATATCAGTGCATAATTATAAATATTTTCAATTAAAATAATTTCTTTATTAGTTAAATAAATATAAATATTATATAAAGAATTAATTAATTTTATTCATACCATTTACTAATTGACATATAGAAGTAGTGAATAGTTAAGTCTTTTCATTTTTTTTCTAAAAATAAAATAAAGATAATGCAAACAAATTAGTAATTAAAAAAAAAGAAAGAAAAGAAAATAAATAAAATTATTGAAAGTACGGCTACGAAATTCTCTCTTTTAAAATGTTACTACTTTAAGAAAGTAATTAACACATATTAGAGCATCTCCAATGCTCTGATATTGTTGTAGAATAAATTAAATGGATTGTGAACTATGTAAGAAAAAAAATATTAAGTTTACAATTATGAAATTAAAAAATTATCTACAAGGCAAAATGTAGTGTAACTACAATATTATCTACTTACCAAATATTAAAAGTTTATAATATGTAGTAAGAAAATTAATTAAATAATTAAATAATTTAGAATTGGTAAGAACAATTCTCTCTCTTCTCTTTATTGGCTATCTAAAGTGTGGAGGAGAAAGTGGATGAACCACATTCTTCTCTACATTGTAGACATTAATTATGTCCACATCATCACAACATTTGTGGTCACATAGTGCATTGGAGGATGAAAAGTTGTGAAATTGCTAAATATGTTAATGTGGAATGTAATTTACCACAACAATATTTAAGCATTGAAGATGCTCTTAGTTTTTTTATGCTATATGCGATAGGTACTATTCTCTTTATATATAATAATACGCAACTCATGCAATGCACAAAACATATATGTTAAATGTGTTATTCCAATATGGTTTGTCCATTTAGGCCAGAAAACAATAGGATTAAATCATCTATTTTTTACATCTATGTTAAAAAATTGGTCCTCATTGAGAATGGACACCAAACCAACAAGGACCTAGAAAACATTACAATCAACATAAGGAGGAAAAAAGAAAACACAAAACTAAAATTCGGTTACCCAAAGATCCCCGGGTATACCTGTTTGAGGCCTCTAGTGATATTGCCAGCCCACCTCTTTTACTCACTCCCCCATTGACCTGTATCAACTCGGGGTATGACATTTTCCAGGTAAATCTACAATGGTCGTACCCTTAGTGGCGGTGGAAAGAGAGTGCGAGGGTATAACCATTGTGTCTTTGTCGACCCAGATCTTTTTCCCTCGGCACTCGTAAATAACCAGCGTATTTCCCTCGCTGGTCAAATCGTTCGGCCGTTTCTGTCCAGGGTCAACAGATTTGTCGGTTGGACCCTTGTCAACCCAAGAGTCGACTTTCCTCTTCTTTCTCTTGTCGACCGAGGGGTCGACAGTTTTTCAGGTCCGCACAACTTGAGGATTCTTAAGTTTTTGGGAGGTCCCTTGGGACCCCCTCTCAGCGTCAGTAATAGGAATGCAGGCTTGGGCCAGCTCGAGGCATTTCTCTGCAAGAAAAAAGAAAAGCATTAAAAGAAGAAAAAGAAAAGAGCTCAAGCTCGATCTTACCATTCTTCTCATCAGTCAAAAGGTCGTCCACTTTGGTCGAAAGACTACATTGATAAGGCAAAAAACATGAGTTCTCCGGTATCTAACGAAGCTCCCGATGGTCAGACAGTCGGAAGACAAACAGTCACGGTGGTCAGACATGGAAGCCCCGGTTAGCTCATCCACAGACATGGCGTACGCCATCTTTTCTCCGGTGTTGTGATGGCCAGAACGACGGCTGTACATGGTGGCTTCGGTCGGCGACTCTCTAGTGGTCGTGAGGACGGCGACAGTAGAGGTGGCCTGGACGATGCCTAAGTTTTTATCCTAGGGGCTTACTTTTGGAAATTACAAGAGACCTATATGAAATTTCTGTAATTTTGATTACATTACAATTTAGTACTTCGGTTAAATATGTAGTTTTTGGAATTTTATTTAATTTTAATTCAATCCATGGACAAATCTATAATTTATATAAATTTAATACAAAAATATTATTTTCATTTTTTTTATACACATATATTAGAACAATAAATTAAAATAAAATAATACAAAATATTAAAATAATATAATCATAATATAAAATAATAAATAAAAATATTGAATAATAAATAATTTTAAATCATATAAGGAATAATTGGTTTCGATTATTTAGGTAAATTTAGTTAACTAGGTTCATTGTTAGTTTAGATTTGCACATGAAAAAATCAATATTGAGGGTGCATAATAGATTTAAACGAGATGTGCACATCAGTGGAATCGAAATGCAAAATAGTGTTGGATCGGACGCACACTAATTCTTCGAGAATGCATATCAACATAAGAATGTGCATTTTAACAAATATTAAAGTCTTGGTTATTTCAGTCCGATTTTGAATTTATTAATAAAATGAAACTTGACACCTCTTTGCTTGCGGAGTTGTCTGAAATAAATAACATAACCAACCGAACTATATGAAAAATTTTATTTATATTTGATCAATATTTATATTATTTATTGTCAACAAACAATAATATAAAATATTACATCAAAAGATATAAATACTAAATACATTTATATTTTATAAATAATTTTATAAATGCACAGTAATATTAATTAAAATACTCATTATTAAAATTTTCTAAAATTTAAATGCACATAAAAAGTACTAGTTTAATAGACTGCACAATAATGTTATACTTGATGCGCATTCGTGTTTGTGTGCTTGCACTTTATCGTTTTTGGTATATATTTCATATATTATATTTTATCAACCAAGAAATAATATATAAGATTATTAACATACTAAATATAATTTTAATATAAATAACAAATTATTTCAATTATTTACAATAATCTTGTTAACCGATCGAATAAACCAAGTAAGTTTGTTCGGTTTTATTCAATTTGGGACAAAAGTTTGGTCGGTTCAATCTGCACAATACTAACCGACACTGTGCACTAAAGTGTTAGACGGTGCACATTGATAATTGTCAGAATGCACAATAGTGACCAGAACAAACTAGTAGGGGTGTTGTCTGTTGGTTGCAGACCAAGTTGGTCTGGCGTGCAACGTTTGTCCGACGGGTGCCGTAGCTAATGTACTCGCCGTGACGAGGATAGTCGACGTCGAAGTCGAGTGCGACGGCTGCATAGCCGTGGCTGTCGGACTGCGCAACCACCGTCCAGTCGGGGGCGGCGAGTGGAAGTCAGCAACTGTAGATGAGTTGTCGTGAATTTGTGTGTTGTGTGTGTGTGTGTATGGGTGGGTGGGTGCGTGATTCAGACTGTTAGTATATGTTTTGTGTGTGAGTGTGTGAGAGAGAGTGATATTATGGTCAGTGGTTGGGGTAGAGTTAGAGATGTTAAACGGGCTAGTCCTAGCGGGCTTTGGGCTAAATGGTCCGGACCTAAAAAGCCCGGATTTAAACGGGCTACCAATAAAAGGACCTAACCCTAAACCTAGCGGGCTTCGGGCTAAACGGGCTATAATAATAATAATAATAATAATAATAATAATAATAATAATAATAATAATAAATTACAACACATAGTTAACGGTTTTTTTCAACGGCTATTTAGTATTTACCACTATATATATACAACTACACTTCATATATGAACACACATTACAAACTTTTAAATAACATATTGTTTCTCAATAGAAAAAATAAATGTTCGGATTATTACTTATAACTACCATTTGACTAGTTATTTCGTATACTTCGGGAATTTTCACAATATAGCATACTGCTTAATTTATATTCTATCACTATATTCTATGTGTTAGGTCTTTGTCTCATTTGTTTTTTATTCGCCGTTCTGATTGGCTTAAATATTTTGTGTTAAATAGAATAAAATTTGTTAATAATTATCTATCAAAATAATAATAATACATTATAACTCATAATTATATGTGAAATAAAATAATAAAATTGTAATATATAAGGATTCACGAGACGTATTCTTTACCTTTCTAAAAACATATACACCACCCAACCCAAGTTAAACGGGCTAGCCCTAGCGGTTTTCAGGCTAGCCCTAGTGGGCTTCGGGTTAAACGGTCTGGGCCTAAAAATCCCAGATTTAAACGGGTTGCCAATAAAAGACCCTAACCCTGTTTTTTTCCGGGCTAAACGGGCCGAGCCGTCGGGCCAAGGACCATTTAATATCGTTAGATAGAGTCCACTATGTGATTGGCCAAATTTGACCAAGATACCCTTGATAAGTGGTTAAATGCATATATTTGGTCATGATATGATCACTTAATTACGAGATTTCCACAAAATGTTTGGATGACATTAATAAAATTTGACTTGATGATGACCACTTATATGTTAGATCCAATGATCCAGATTTATTCTTATTTCTGTCACTATCTACCATTCTCGTTTGAGCACACTTTTATATATATAAAAATTAGGATTACATTGAGTGATTATCTATGTCATGTAGAAAGTTTGATAATCTAATTTTAAAAATAATTTATTACTTAAAAGAGGAAATTTTTCAAAAGTAATTCTTTTATGGTAAATTGTGAGTGATTATCTATGTCATGTAGAAAGTTTGATAATTTAATTTTAAAAATAATTTATTACTTAAAAGAGGATTTTTTTTGAAAATAATTCTTTTGTGGTAATAAATTATTTTTAAAACTAAATCATCAAACTTCTTACTATTCCATTGCAATTTGCCATAAATGAATTATTTTCGAAAAATTTCCTATTTAAGTGATAAATTATTTCTAAAATGAATTTATCTAACTTTCTACATGACATACATAATCACCCAATGTAATCCTAACTACTGCAACATCTCGCAGATCCGCATCTCTAATTCAGTATTCAAACACCAACAAATATTCAAAATAAATTGACAATATTTCATCAAACAATTCCCTAAATGAGGGGTGCTATTATATATACATGATTTTTACCCTCTACAAAGACCATCAACACAACCAATTCAAATATCATCCCTTCCCTATNAAAAAAAAAAAAAAAAAAACCAAATGTGTTCTTCAATTTTCATATCCTCAATATTCTTCCTCTCATTTATAATGTCGAATCTCATGGTCAATACTTATGCCGAATCCTTAATCGAAACAGTTTGTTCCAATGACCGTTTGTATCCCGAGAGGACTAAAGCATGCATCAAAGTCCTTCGATCCCATCCCAAAATCGCGTCCGCTAAGAATTTATACGACCTGTCGATTGCAATTATGAAGACGGGACTATCGAGCTTTACAAGCGCGCAAGCTTACATCAAGAGCCAATTGAAAAGGTCAAATGTGGGACGAGACCTGAAGGACGCCCTAAAAGCGTGCAATAACTCTTACTATAGTGGCTATATATCGTTCAACAGCGCCCTGTCAGAGGTCACTTACGACAAAGAGTATGAAACGGCCACTTACGATCTTCTCATTGGCTGCACGGATGACATCCAATCGTGCGAGGAGAATGTGGCCTCGGGGAAAATCAAGGACTCGACTGTTTCGAGAACTAATGACCTTGCTAGTATATATGGGCTGTCCGCTTATGAGGCTGTTAATGAGCTTGACCGAGGAAAAGATGTGTAGGAATATATTATACTCATTTGATTCGCATTGTATTTACAAATGCATTTAAATGATAATCGAGTTGTTTTTTAGTTTAGTTGATTTGACATATAGTCTAATGCATGAGCCACAGGCTTTGGTCCAAAAATTACATTTTGTGCTCTTTAATTAGAAGGGTGTGGCAGATGTAGACAACTTCTTTCTATCATCCTACTATAAAAAACATTAATGATAAATTTTGTAACTTAAAATGGAGGAAAAATTTTAGAAGTTTTATTAAATAGGTTTTTTTAAATGTTATTAGCTTGTAATTATACACATATAGTATTTTATTTATTCATCTACTTATATATAGAGAGAGAGAGGGACAAAAAAATAATGACATTTTTTCACTTTTTTTTAATTTAATTATGAATTAACCGTTACTTTTGTCTTAGTTAATTACAATAATATTATTTAATATATTTATCACATAATATTTACTACTAATATTAACCAATGATAAATTCACACTAAAACTTATGCAAATTATACACTTATAAAAGAAAATTATAGCAATTTTTTAGTTTTTTTTTTTAGTTTTAAAATTAATATCATCATTTTACTTTTAACTCATTGAGCATCTTTTTTTTATGCTAATTGGTTTAATGGAATAACAAACACTTTAAAACTGCATAAATAACTTTAATATAATAATAATTTAAATTTTTATCAACCAACTAATTGCTTTGGATCCATTAATTCTGTAACTACACTATTCATTTTATTTTATGTTATATAAGATTTTATTTGTATCTGTGCATGTGCACAATATTAATTACTAGTTTTTATTAGTTGCTGGTTGAATAAATTTGAATGCTGGTCATAGAAATTTTTATTAAATAAAGTTCTATTTTCATTAATTATTGACTGAATAAAATTTATTGAAACTTGACAGCAATTCTATATACTAGTATTAGACCCTGTGCATTTGCACATATGTAAATACAGTATTGTGAGTTATTTGTATCCATATAATGATTAATGATTTTACTTTCACTTTTTTCCATAGGCCAAATTTATAATTAAATGAATTGGAATATTTATTTTTTTAAATTGTGTTTATCAGATTGGATGAAACGTATATTTTGGTATGTATTTTTTTTATTATTTTGTTATTTATTTAGGAATTTCAAATATGTTTTTTATTTTCCAAAAAAAAATTAAATGTAGCCACAATAATAATATCTAATCACATTATATAGTCAACATATTATATGGTCAACTATCAGTAATCAAAAGTTTAATATGATTTTTGTAATTTTGAAGTGATTAGCGTGTTGATTATCTAATAATTAAATAAAATGTTAAATAAATTAAAAGTAACAGCTTTTGGAGGAAAATGGTTATATTGCCACATAGGTAAAATTAAATAAATTTTATTAAATGCTAACAACCAATAATTATATATATATATATATATATATATATATATAGTTTAGATATAAATATACTGGAAATCTAGTGACTATATTTAATTATTCTGGTCCAGAATTAGACGTTCAAATCTCCGTACAATATTTTTAATTAGGCTTTGTCTAATCCAAAATGGCAAATCATTCTTCAATTCGAAGCATCTTTCCAATCTTGGGTCGAGTCATGCTTGTGTTATAGCAACAGAAGCCAAACACTATGGATTGGCTGTACGAGATTATGTTCAATGAACTTAATTAATATAATTGAATAGTCCACATTCTACACAAATTGCGAATGACTGGTTGGATTAGGTCAAATCCTTCTTGCCGTAGAGGATTAGATAACATATATATATATATACTTTCATCATTCTATTTGAGGCTTTATTTTTATTTTTAAATACATTATGAAAGTCAATTATTGGCTAATTTTTTTTCTAAACTTAATCAAATATTTTAGTTTATAGTCATTGGCTCAAACTTCAATAAAACAATTGGACAATGGTCAAATGTCATTGTTATTAAATTCATTGGTCAAACACCCGGTTTAGAAGCCCGATTAAATCTTACACACTATCAAATAATAAGTTAATTTTTTCCCCATAAAGTGCAAAACAAATTATATACTCTTTGTAAATTCTGAGACCCAACATATGTACATAGCGACCCAAATATCTAATTCATGAAAGCAATTGTGGCCAACATTTATACCCTCTTGCCATTCTTTTAAGATTAGGTATTGATTACTAGTCTTATTTATTGTTCTCATTAAATCACGGATTTTTGAATTCAAAAAGCCAAATATGAGCTTAGAAGCTCAAAATTGATCAGTAGGACCCACGAAATTATGCTAGAAGCCTCTTATGGGACCCCAATGAGTGTATAGAGAATGATTAAAAGAACAAATTATCGCCAAGTACGCATGCGTAAGGTAGCTAAACTATTCCAAACTCAAGTGTACATGATAAAATATAAATTTATTACTGGTTTGTATCTTGGCTTTTTTTAAAATAGGAAAAAAAAGAAAAAAGTGTAAGATTTGTGGTCTAGGCATGAGACAGCTGGACAAATAACAAGGTTGATAGACCTCATCTTCATGTTCCTAATTTCATTTTTTTTGGACATTGAGAGATAACCTACGAACCGAACCCCGGCCCAAAAGTAAAACCTAATATGTAATATCATGTCTGCTTCTTCTTTTTTTTTTTATTTCGGCCTTCAAATCTGCATACATAGATAAAATAAAAAATAATAACAATATAACGCATTTGAGTCTATTAAAAAAATTACGTGTCATATAGAAAATAGGTTTGATGTAGATTCAATGTAGAGAAAGAAGCTATTCAATGTAGATTCAACGCAAGTCGAAAAACAGTAACCTCTTTACACATACAACAACAACAGTACTGATTTCATTGATTATACAAAACCCCGTCGCGACTACAAACAGAAACATACCACTCATCTACCT